AGCTTCCTTTGACTCCAATCCCTCAGGGCCTCATCCAGTTTCTTCCTGGCCTCCTGCCTCTAGTGCACCCGTTGCTCCTGCTCGGGCCCCTGTTGGCAGCCCTGTGCCGTCAGTGTGCACCGTGTGCACATTGCCTGCCCAGCTCCCGGCTTCCTCTCTCCTGGGCGTGCTCGTCAGAACCTGAGGAGCCCCTTCCCTCTTCTCTGGAAGTGTCAGCCTGGGCACTGGGATAATTAAAAATGTCATTGGGTTGTTGCTGCCTTTGGGTGGCAGCCACCGACTTGCCCCTAATAAGAGAACTTAAGGTGGTCTCTGGGTTTCCCATGGGCTCCCAACTGGTCTGTCGAGTTCCCTCTTCTGCGGCAGACACTCCCCCCTGTCCTGTCGGCATCCGCTTCTTGTCCTGGGACGCTCATGATTAGCCGGGGTTAGGGTCTGCTTGCTAATGAGGACCAGGACAGGCCCTGCCACCCCTCCCTGGAGGTGCCTCTGCCCTAAGAAGCAGTTGTGCGTGACAGCCCCATAGACTGTTCCCAAGTGGACATGCATCAAGCATCCAGCACAAGAAATCTAACTCTGGGAGCCCCTCGAGGGGCCTTGGGCCCCCACCTCACCCCCCAGCCCCTGCTTTCCACCTGGGCTGGAACCACCTGCCTGGTCCCTTTTGGGTCTGGCCACTCTGCTCAGCAGCTCACTGGAACTTGTCCGTATGTGGAAGTGACCATGGACACTGCTGACAGGCAGCTCCTCCTGCCCCAAAGAGGCAGAGTCGCGAGGTTCAGCCCAGGCGCTGGGTGGAGCCCTGCACCAGCGGCCACTCTGCTCCTGCGAGTGGGCCACAGGGTCTGCATGTTTTCAGTCTTGGTCTTGCTTAAAATCTGACCTTTCTTTTTCCTGCCCAGAAGATACTCTTTTTTTGTCCTTGATGAGTTAGTTAAAGCCATCCTTGCTGTCTGGCACCAGGTTTGGGGGTGTCTGTTTTTCCAGCTCTCCTGTAGCACGCGCCTCAGCCCTATTCTGGCCGGGATGGTTGCGCTGCCGTGGGCAGGGCCGCAGCTCTTTTAGCCTCGGGCTTCCTGCCACCCTGACAGCGATGTGGGTGGACAGGTCTTTTCTCGGGGGAGGGACCCTTCTGCACTGAGGTGGTTCTTCCTGCTTTTCCGTTATGAAATGTCTTGAATGGAGCGGCGATGATGGAGTTTGGTAGCCCTTACTGGGCGTAAGAGACTGTCAGCTTCTGGGATTGGCTTTGAAGTTGTGATGTTGGCTTCTCAGTCCTGGAGCCGTGGGCTGGGCAACTGCAGCTCTGTGACTCCTGAGAGGTGACAGGGCAGGTGAGGGATGGCGACAGCCCCACTGGCTGCCCAGAATTTCCACCTGTTCACCACTGTTGCTGCTTCTCCTCCCTCCCTCCAGTCCTCTGCCTGCTGCCTGAGGCCACCGATGCCCGTGGTGTTTATTAGTCACTCTCAGCTCATTTACTGGAGACATGTCTGTGCTTTTGGGGCTGACTCCTTCCTCTTGACCCACATTGGCTGAGCATCTGCCCTTGCAGAGTGGTGGGCTTTCCGGGCAGTAGAAAGCTGTAACCTGCCCAGCGCATGCCAGACTCCAGTGTGCGTGCAGGGCCCTCGGGGTTAAAGATGGGCTCTGGTTCTGAGATCTGGAGTGAGACCAGAGTGTCTGCGTGTCTCTTGAAACCGCTGGGCCACGCCTGACAAGCAGCAGGACAAGTAGGACGTGGGGTGGGGGTGCAGGGCACCTGTCACCCCCTAGGAGAGTAGCTCCTGGGTGTCCCTTGCTCCTTCCTGAGAGGGAGTGCGTGTTGCCCCTGCCCTGTTGGCCAACCTGCCCGCCAGCCTCCACAGGCCCGCCTGCCTCCAGGCTCCGGCTCTTTCACTGCCTTTTATCAGGAGCTCGGCCCCTCCCTGGGGGGGTATGGGTGCATAGAAATGAGTACAGTTTTCGTAATAATAGTAATCGTGGTCATTCCTCTTTGAACAGCACTTACCTGCTGCTTCCCGGTAGCACTTCTGGTTTCACCCGGCCCGTGCTCCTGGCCAGATGGGGCCAGGCTGGGGGCCTCCCAGTGGGCTCCCCCACACCCTCCTTCCTGCCAGCTGGCCAGTTGTGCCTGTGCCAGTGGGGGAAACCAGCTGCAGGTCCCCTGGGTCCCGCCTCCCTTGTTGACTCCCATTGGGAGTGGCAGGTGGGTTGCAGGCCTGATCACAGGGACCAGCATGCAGGGCTCCTCTGGAAAAGCAGGCTTTGCCAGGCCTCCCCGTGCCTCTAAGATGGGCGTGTGTGTGTGGGAAGGTGGGGCAGCGGAGGTTTTAGGATGAACTCAGGGAGGTTGGGCTATGGTGGACGCCATCTCCCTCACTGCTCGAGTGAGCTGGTGGGGGCAGCAGGGCTGGCCCGAGGGGTAGGGAAGGAAGCCGGGCCTGGCCCCCATCCCCGTGTCACCAGCATGCTGATGGAGCCCGGGTGTTTATTTCGTGAAAGTCACGTCAGGAGGGCTGGGCTCCTGGCATCTGTGGAGCCTGTTGCTTTCCAGGAGGATGGTCTGGGAGGAGAGCCAGGAGCTGCTGGCTGGCGTCCAGGTCTGGGCAGGATTACACTGCTGGGCTTGCCCAGAGTCCCACTCACCACCAGCCATGCCTGGAGGGGCAGGCTGGAGAGGTCACAGGAGCAGCGTGCGCAGCCTGCGTCCCCCAAGCAGGCTGTGGGTCAGGGACCACACTGTCCCCTCTAGCCAGAAGCTTCTCTGCTGCCAGGTGGTGGTGAGGAGCTGGGCAGGCCTGACGTCCTCACGCAGAGCTGGGGAGAATGTAGCTGGGCAGGGTGGGGCCCTGCAGGGACGGACAGGTGGGCAGGAGTGGGAGGGGAGGTGAGGGTGGAGGCGCCTCTGCCCCTGGAGGAGGTGCTGGTGTCCATCCCCAGGGTAGGAAAGTTGGCTCTGGAGTCAGGCTTTGAGTCTTTGCTCTGCCACCTGTTTGTTCCTGTGACCTTGGGCAAGTTGCTTAACCCCCCAAACCTTGTGGTCTTATCTGATGTGGAGATAACACCGAAGTCTTCCCCACAGGCAGGATGCCATCTCAGACTGGTGCAGGGCGAGGCCAGACCCTGGGGAGGGATGAACTTCCTAGGCTGGTGGCTGGGTTGGGGGCGGGGCCTGAGGCTTTTTTGGATTCTGGGCTGCTTGGACTTTCCAGGTCTCTGCCCTCCAGCCGCCCTCCTACAGCCTGCAAGAGGCAGGGTGCGCACCTGTTGGGGCCATATCTGGAGCACCAGGTGGCCACAGTGTGGGCTGTCTGGGACCAAGACTGGGGGCCAGTGGCCAGCGTGTGTGTCTAGGGCCCTCTCCGGCAGGTGTGCGTAAGCCCCTGGGGGCATGGAGGCTGCCTGGTGTCCTTGTGCCTCCCCCAGGCGGTGGAGCCCTGCGTGGGGGATGGGCAGCCCCAGCTCTCAGCTGGAAGGTTCTGTGTCACTCTGTGACTTCTGGCTAGGTGTTCTGGGGCCGGGAGGTAGTTACGGAGAAAGAACAGCCTGCTGTTGGCAGCTTTGGGGTGGGTCGTGCGGGAGCTTCTCCCGGGATGGGACGCAGCATGACTCCAGGCTCCTGTGGAAGGTGTGTTCTGGGGAGTGAGGGGGCCACAGCAGGGGGGTGGCGGTAGAGTGTTCTTGGAGACGGAGACGTGGGCAAAGAGGCCTGCCCAGAGAGAGATTGGGCCCTTTCCCCCACCCTCACCCCTCTCTCTGGGACCCTTTGTCCTGGCTGGGTGCGGGCTGGTGGAAGTTTCCTGAATTGGGAGGCGTGTGCAGGGGTGGGTGTCTGGGACAGCTCCTGTCAGACCAGGGTAGGTGTCGTTCTCCTGGGCTTCCTGCTTGATCAGGGTGCTTTCATCTGAAGACCTCCTCTCTGCCTTCTGCCCTTTGGTGCTGGCAAGGGGGCTCCCCACCAGCCCCTGAGGCCACATGGAACCCCCCAGGCAGGTGAACCACAGGGGTACTGTCCCGCCTCTGCTGTCCTCACGGGCCTCCTGGCTGGTGTGTGTTTGAGGGGTGGGTACAAGGAGGGTGGACGGGGAGGGCGTCCTTGGCCCAGGTGGTGCTGCCTGCAGGAGGAGCCGAGAGATCCCAGATGGCTACTCTGCCCTCAGGAGCCACCTCCCAGGTCTCCGGCCCTGGGTGGGCTGGAAGCCAGCAGTGGGGAGGGCCTTCCTGCTTTGTAGGGCAGGGTGGAACGTGGGGGTGTGGAGGCAGAGGCTCCCTGTTCCAGCCAAGGCAGGAGGTGCTCCGTCCTGGTCTTGGAGCGTGGAACACAGGCTCCTGGAGGCGCGGGGCCGCGGCTGGGTGCGCCAGGCTTACGAGCATGGGTGTGTCTGTTCTTTCTGGCTTTTTGCTGGGGAGCTTTTTTCCCACTTGAGGGAAATACGACATGGTACCTGAACTCAAGTGGTCCCTTGCGCCTTGACTGGTGAACGTGTCCATGTCAGCCCAGAGTCCCACCGGGATGTAGAGCCACCCTCACCCCAGGATGTCCCCGGCCCCTCTCCCCGGCCAGCTGGCTTTGTTTCTCCCCCCCATTGGCTCTGCCCGTTTCAGAACCTGACCATGCGGTCTGTATCCTTGGCTAAGGTGTCCCTTCCTGGAGTGATGAATTTGAGGTTCATCCATGTTTGTTGTATCAGTTCTCTTTTTGTTTTTTTAGGATTTAAAGTAAAATGTACTTAAAAATTTTTTGAATATTACAGAAATGAACTTACAGAGACCTCATTTAGCAATTGGGTGTGTGGCCCAAGGAATTTCTTTCCTCACAACAGCACTGCAGCAGAGGGGCGGTGGCCCTCCTGGGCATGGGGCAGAGGTGGGGCTTGGAGGGCAGCAAAAGAAATGGGGACTCAGTGGGGACCTGTCCCAGCTCACCGTGTGACAGCCCTTTGGATAGGTGAGTGCTGACCATTGTGTAAATACGGACCCAGGGAGGTGGCCCAGATCTCTGTGTCCACAGGAGGGCAGAGCTGCTCCCCACCTCGTATTCAGCCCTGTGGGGACAGCTGCCCACTCTTCCGTGAAGGGCCAGATCCTGGCCTTCAAAGAGTGCCTGGCTGACCGCCCTGTTGCCCTGACCCTGGGCATCCTGGAGCCACACTCCAGCGGGCAGCAGAGCTGCACTGGGCTTGGGATACTGGGGGCTGCTAGGTGTGTTGCCTGGGCCTCCTGCCAGGGGCTGCTGGGGGCCAGAGCCGTGCCAGAGAGCAGCCTCATTCCAGCCCATGGTGGGCCCTGCCAGGGCTGGGCATCAGCCCAGTGGGCACTGTGCTGCCAGTCTGCTGGGCCAGCCCCCCATCTGTGTTTTTAGTTAATCCCTCCCCAGGTGTGGTGGGCGCTTGCTGCGGTGATAAGGCGGAGGTCTCTGAGAGGGAAGGAGCAGGCCTCTGAAGGGGCCCTGGCCCTCACCTGTGATGAGGTTGCGTCCTTGTGTACAGACCTGGTGGCAGCCCGGCCCACGCTTGGCCAGGCCTGGGGCTGTTGGCGGGTCTGCGGACGGAGGTGCTCTCCCAGCAGGCAGTGCTGTGCAATCCCCCACAACGGATGGTGCGGAGAGGCCTGCTGGGCCTTGTCCTGCTGAGCCTCCCCCCAGGGTGGGGGGTCGGGCTTACGGGGAGACACCTGGTCAGTCACCCGGCCCTTCCCAGGCTGGACTGATCTGGCCGGTCTGCCTGATCTCTCTGACCGGGACCAGGAACTCCTAGGTACAGGTCTCGCATGTGCTGAGGCAGGGCCACTGGGCAGGTGGACACTCTGCCAGTGGGGCTGGGGTTGTTCTGGGATCCAGTGCGGCATCCGGTGTGGCCTCCCATCCCCTCTTCCAGTCTGCTCTCACCAGTACTGGGGTGGTCTCTGTCCCTCATCCCAAGGCTGGGCTGGGCTCTGTCTTGCCTGCTGTCTCTGGCCTGTCCTGGTTGTGGGGGGCCGTGACATGTGGACTCTCCCAGTGTGCTGGACCCACAAAGCTTGTTCTGCTGCCCTCTGGGCCCACTGTGCCCCCTCCCCCCGGCCACCCCTGTGAGAGGGAGCTGTGCGAGGGCCAGAGACAGCTGGCAGGCTGGAGCTGAGGCCGCCCGGCCACCCCGCACCCCGGGTCTGGTCGCATTCCTGAGGGACCTGCTGAGCCTCCCTGGCCCTGAGGGCGGGGGAAGGGCGGGCAGGGATGGGCTCCAGGCTTCTGCAGGTCTCCTCCCCCACCCCTGGCTTCCTTCCAGTGGAGTCCAGGCCTGCCTGAGTTGGGGGCAAGTAGGGGGCCTGGAGCCCATGCTGCAGGACCCCTCCCGCAGGACCCGAAGGCCTGGGGCGCATGGGGAGCCCACCCGCATCTGGCGGCAGCTGCCAGCAGCCTTGGCGGGCTGGTATTGAAAGAGCGAGCCTGCAAAAGCCATGTGGTCAGGCTGGGCAGGACAGGAGGGGGCTGGGCCCTCTGGGCAGGGAGGGGGCCTGAGCAGCCGGGAGGGAAGGGAAGGAGGCAGGAGAGTCAGAAGCGGTTGAGACTGGTTCTTATAAATAGCCCGCTGCACCAGTGCCTCCAATTTTGACCTTTTGTTATGTAAATGTAGCCAGCCTGGGAAGGGCTGCCCAGGCCTCCTGCCACCACGCCTGCTGCCAGGAATTGAGTGCCTGCCACTAGCTCCCCCAGATCTAAGTGACCCTTGGAGTATCCTAAGTCTTTTTGGGGGGGTGTACCCTGCTCTTCAGGCCTGTGTTCTCCTGCCATCACCCTGCCTGCGGGCGCTGGCCACTGTCTCCTGCCCAGCTGTCCCCGGCATTCCAACCGGGGAGACCCCCAGACCTTCCTGGGGATGAGGGCTTCCGGGCCCCCTAGGTACCCTCTCCCTTGCTGCCCCTCCTGCCTTCTGCCCCCCGACTGCTGCCTGTCTGTGTAACCGTGTCCATCTTCTCTCCTCCAGGTGACCAGGCATTGATGCACCCCCAGGGAGGCCGCGCACTCAAGGAGGCCACCCCCGCTGGCTGCTGCTCACATGGTTTCTGGGCCCCTGGCACTCCGGTAGGCCCTGGTGGGGAGCTGGCAGGGTGGGGAGGTGTGGGGGAGACGGCGGAGGGATGGCGGCTGCCCCTTCTTCTGGGGACTCTCTGGGCCGCCTGCTGCTCTGGGCTTGCGTCCTGGCTTGCAGTCCTTTGTGTACGGGCAGTGCTGGGCAGCCTGGAGGGGGCCGGCGCTTGGGGAGGAGGGGCTGCTGTGGGCTCACAGGCTCCCAGATGATGGGACCTCCTGCCCTCTGCCTGTCCCGGTGCCAGGCTGGGAGCACCAGCCATCCTGGGTGCTGATCAAGCTGACACTGCAGTTCCCTGGGGCTGGGTATTCCTGCCTTTGTCCCTGCCTGGCTAGGGGGAAGGGACTGGCGGAGGGCTGGTTCCCTTGGGACCTGGGCTTCAGCTTCTGAGCCCCCGCTGAGCAACTTCACAGGGCAGCTGGCACTTGCTGCCTCCTGATGCCAGGCCCTGAGTGCTGGCCCACATGGCTTCACAGTGTGCTCGAAGCCTTCCTTGTAGTGCCTGTGCTTGTGAGAGTTTGCCTCTGTCTCTGCAAACAAGGCCAGGGGCAGCCTTTGTGTCACAGGAAGGTGTGTGTGTGGGGGGCGCATCTCCTCCAAGGCTCTGCCCCAGAGAGTTGGGACCTCAGGTTGGGGAGGCTCCGAGCTGTCATTTCCTTTCAGAGCTCGGGTCCTGAGTGGAAGGACATGAGGTTGCTTATTGGCTTCACAGCATTGCCTGTGGGAGGGCACCTGCTCCCAGAGACCTCGTGCCCACTGCCACGCAGCCACCCACAGGGTTATTACTCAGTGACATCAGTTAGCATCTTTGCCAGTCTGGCAAGTTTCCCAGGCCCAGACAGCACTGCCCTCAGGAAGGCCCTGGGCCCCGCAGTGCTAGAGTTTGGCTAGGAAAGTGCTCAGTGCCTGGGGAGTCGAGGCCTCGTGGGATGGGGGCACGGGTGGGGGCAGGCTGCAGAGTCACGAGGTAGCACCTTGGGCTGTGAAGCCAAGTTCAAATCCCCGTTTGCCTGGCACCAAGGACGTTCACTGTCCCCTGCTTGCATTCTTATGTCCTGTAGAAGGGTGATGCTGCCCCCCTTGTGGGCGGCGTGGGTGGTGTGAGTTCCCTGCTCAGGTGCTTGGCCCCAGGAGGTGGCCAGGGCCAGGTTGGCGCAGAGGGTCCCCATCTAATGCATGTGTGCCTGTTCCTGCCCACAGGTGGTGCGTGTGGGCGGGGCGTGGGGACATGGGGCCCGACATGGAGCTGCCCAGCCACTCAAAGCAGCTCCTGCTGCAGCTAAACCAGCAGAGGACGAAGGGCTTCCTGTGTGACGTCATCATCATGGTGGAGAACTCCATCTTCCGGGCCCACAAGAACGTCCTGGCTGCTAGCAGCATCTACTTCAAGTCCCTGGTGCTGCACGACAACCTCATCAACCTGGACACGGACATGGTCAGCTCCACGGTGTTCCAGCAGATCCTGGATTTCATCTACACGGGCAAGCTGCTGCCCAGCGACCAGCCGGCCGAACCCAACTTCAGCACGCTCCTCACCGCCGCCAGCTACCTCCAGCTGCCCGAGTTGGCGGCCCTGTGCCGGCGCAAACTCAAGAGGGCCGGCAAACCCTTTGGCTCAGGGCGGGGTGGGGCTGGCCTGGGGCGACCCCCTTGCAGCCAGCGGCTGTCTGCGGCCTCCGTCATCCAGGCCCGGTACCCAGGGCTCGTGGATGGGCGTAAGGGGGCCCACACCCCTCAGGAGCTCCCCCAGGCCAAAGGCTCCGATGATGAGCTCTTCTTGGGTGGCTGCAACCAGGAGAGTATGCACGGCCTGGGCCGGCCAGTCTGTCCGGCCACCAGGGAGGCCGGCCTGGGTGGCTGCAGCACTAATGGGAGCAGTGGGGGCTGTGAGCAGGAGTTGGGCCTGGACTTGTCCAAAAAGAGCCCTCCCCTGCCCTCCGCCACCCCCGGGTCCCCCCTCACCCCGGATGACCCAGCTCAGCTGAGCGACAGTCAGCACGGCTCGCCCCTCTCAGCCTCCGCTCCTCCCGCAGCCAACAGTGCCTCTTATGCTGAGCCTGGGGGGTG